TACCTCTCTCATCATCCCTTTTCCTTTCTCTTCCTCACCCCATTCCCATCCTTTCCTTACCCCTTTTCCACCTGCCACCCTTCATCTCTCCTCCCCACCCTGCCTCTGTTCCTGCCAGTACCTTCTGCCACCCTTCATCCCCATCTCCTCCTCCTCCTCTCCTGCTGCCTCCACTCTCTCTCTCTCTTTCTCTCTCCTCCCTCCTGACTTGCACTCGGCCTGTCTGGTCCCTGGAGCCCCACAGCAGCAGCTCCTCTGTCTCCCCGACTCTCGCTCTCCTCCGGTGCCGACACACGGTCCTCCGCAGTCAGACCCCTCTAGACTCTGCTGGTTGTGCGTCCGTCCGTCCGTCCGGAATCCCGGAATGCCCCCTCCCTGCGTCCGGCCGCCTCCCCGCCCTCGGGGTGAGGGATGCTGCCTGACGCCCCGCTGCCGCCTCTCCCCGCAGCGCCCGAGGCCCCCGTCATCGACACGCAGCGCACCTACACCTACGACCAGATCTTCCTGTGCTGGCGGCTGCCGCAGCACTCGCCGCCCGCCTGGCACTACACCGTGGAGTTCCGCAAGACCGACGCCAAGGCCAAGGGGCTGAAGCTGTGGCAGCGGCGGGAGGAGGTGAGGGGCACCTGCGCCCTCGTCGAGTACCTGGACACCGACAGCGTCTACGTGCTCAGGGTGAAGGGCTACAACAAGGCGGGTTTCGGGGATTACAGCGAGGACATCTACCTGCACACGCCGCCCGCCCCAGGTGAGAGGGGCTGGGATCGTGTCGGGGTCACCAATTGTCACCAAAGGTGATACAGAGACTCCATCATCAGAAGGCATGAAAAAAGGCAATTTATTATTAGGAATCTACAGTTCTTATAGAAACAATGGTGGACCTAAGACCTGATTGGCCTTTAGGAATCTTCTCTCACCTGTTGGTCAGGAAGGGACAACTCCTTCTTGTAAACATCTTTGACAAAGAGAGATTGCCCGCCAGGTGCAGGGACTGAGATAATTGTTTTAATTATTTCTCTGAACTTTCTCACAGCTTCCCAGGAAAACCCTGGGAGAACTATGTCTCTGTCTGTTCAGAGGATGTGTGATGACCACACATAGGTGCTTGGATCAACACGGGGCGCCCCACTGTGCTGCACTGCTCACCTTTCTCCTCTTTGTCTGCTCCCCACAGTCCTCAACTTCTTCCTGGACAACCGCTGGGGCTTCAACCGGGACCGGCTGGCCATCAGCAAGGACCAGCGCGCGGTGCGCAGCGTGCCCGGCATCCCCATGCTCTTCGCCGCCGAGCGCCTGATGACCAGCTGCCACCTGTCCATCGACCTGGTCATCGGCGACGTGGCCATCACCCAGGGCAAGAGCTACTGGGCCTGCTGCGTGGACCCCAGCTCCTACCTGGTCAAGGTGGGCGTGGGGCTGGAGAGCAAGCTGCAGGAGTGGTTCCAGGTGCCGCAGGACGTGGTGAGCCCCAGGTGAGCTTGGCGGGTGCAGGGTTTGTTCCTACCTCCCCGGCAGGCACCGGGGTGTGGGGGGATCTCCAGCCTGTCCCGTGGGTGGACTCACCTGTCCCCGCTCCACAGGTACGACCCCGACAGCGGCCACGACAGCGGGGCAGAGGACACGACGGTGGAGGCACCTCCTCCCTACGCCTTCCTCACCATCGGCATGGGCAAGATCCTGCTGTCGCACGGCTCGGCCCTCACGTCCCGCGACCCCAACGGCTGCACCGTGCCCTTGCCCCCGCGCATTGGCATCTGCCTGGACTACGAGCAGGGCAAGGTGAGCTTCTACGACGCCGTGTCCTTCCGCGAGCTCTGGGAGTGCGGCGTGGACTGCTCGGGGCCCGTCTGCCCCGCCTTCTGCTTCATCGGAGGGGGGGCCCTGCACCTCCAGGAGCTGGTGGCCAACAAGCAGGAGAGGAAAGTGACCATCGGGAACTTCGCCAAGCTGGACTGAGCCACGCCCGCGGCCCCCACATGCCCCCCGGGCACCCTGCAAGCGCCAGGGGGACACAAGTGGCCAGGGAGCAGAGCAGAGCAGGGGTGGCCCCGGCCCTGCCACCGCTGGGGACAGGCCAGGTGTTTGTTTTGTGGGATGGGGGGGACGGGGGCAGCTTTGCCGTCCCCTCCTCACCCTGTCCGCCTGCCCCTAGCTCCAGCTCAGCCCCGGGCTGCTCTGGGCTGGGGCTGTGGGCAGGGCTGGCAGAGGGTCAGCCCTAGAGATGGGTCAGGGAGGGGGACGGGGCTGCACAGGGAGGGGGGTGGAAGGTGACAGTGGGGTGACAGTGCAGGGGAGAGGCTAAGTGCTCGTTGGGGTGTGAGAACGTGGTTGGTGGTGGCTTGGGGCATTAAATCAGTCTAGGGCTAGTGGTGGACCAAGGGAAAAAGGTGTGAAGGAAGGCATGTTGTGGCAGTGCAGGGGAGAGGCTGGGTGCTCGTTGGGGTGGGGGAGGCAGCTGGGGTGGGGGAGAGGGCTGGGGGGGAGGCTGGGCTGGAACAAGGTGTGAAGATGTTTTGTAAAATGGCTCATTTTCAACGTGGATCATCTGGCTGCAGCCAGGCACAGCCCCTGCACGCAGCCAGTGTGGGGTCCCTCCCGTGGCTCCTGGGCACCACAGTGCTTGCTGCCTGCTCTGCCCTGTCCTTGGGGAGCAACGTGCCTGGCCAGCCCTGCACATGGCCTGAGGGCCACATTTGGCTCCTGTTACACCACTCAGTGCCCAACCCATGGCCTGGGTGGGCTGGGCCTGCAGGGTCTGGACGTGACCCACCAGGGAGCCACAGCACCGTGGGGGCTGTGCCAGCAATCCCACACCGGGATCTGTCCGAGCTGCTGTCATTTCTCCTGGGTTCTGTTACAACAAACGCTGTATTTTCATGGTTTCCTACAATAAACTGCAGTGCCAGACTCGTCCAGAGCTCCCTGGCACAGGGGGCCTGTGGGACTGAGCTGTGCGTGGGGCCAGACTGTGCATGGGGTCAGGGTGCCAAGGGACATGGGGCCTTGGGTCTGGGTTGGCTGGGGGTCACAGGGCTGTGGGGTCTCAGGGTTATTGGGTCACAGGGCTATGAGGTCACAGGGCTATGGGGTAGCAGGGCTGTGGTGCCATGGGGCTGTGAGGTTGCAGGGCTGTGGGGTCTCAGGGCTGTGAGGTTTCAGGGCTGGGGGGCCACGAGGCTGTGGGGTCTCAGGGCTATGGGGTCACAGGGCTGTGGGGTCACAGGGCTGGGGGTCTCAGGTCTGTGAAGTTTCAGGGCTGTGGGTCTCAGGGCTGTGAGGTTTCAGGGCTGGGGGGCCATGAGGCTGTGGGGTCTCAGGGCTGTGGGTCACAGGGCTGGGGGGTCTCAGGGCTGTGAGAGTGCAGGGCTGTGGGGTCACAGGGCTGGGGGGTCTCAGGGCTGTGAGGTTGCAGGGCTGTGACTCTCTGGGCTATGGGGCTGCAGGGCTGTGGTGCTGGGCTGGCCATGGGGCAGTGAGCCCAGGCTGTCCAGAGCACGTGTCCAGAGGTGTGCACGGGACTGGGGCCGTGGGGCCGGGCTGTCCTTTGGGCCGTGGCCAGCAGGTGCCAACCCTGCCCAGCCCGGGCAGTGCTGACGTGTCAGGTCCTACCCGTGCTCTGCCTGGCCACATGGTCACTGCCACTCCGTCACAGGGGGCTCCTGGAGGGGACATCTCTGGGCCAGAACAAACTCCTTCAGCACTGCTGGGGAGTCCAATCCAGCCAGGGGGGCTGCTGGATGCTGAGGCTCCTTCTCAGAGTGGGTATGGGAGCTGGACCCCCGCACCTGGGTACTCTGCATGGCAGCTGGAGGGGCCACAGGCAGGGCAGGGCCCTCCTGGGTGGGTGCCTGTCCCTGGAGATCCCAGTCCCCAAGCTGGAAGGGGAGGGGGCTGCAGGGCTGAGCCCTCTGTGAACAGGCAATGCTTTGTAGGGCCCAGCCCTTCAAATCAGTCCCCTGTTCTGATCCCTGGGGCCCTGCCCAGGACTGGGGGGGCTGAGAGGGGAAGCAGCAGTGCCAGGCACACCCCATCCCCTTTGGGGCTCTGTCCTAGGCACACGACCCCATGCCCAGCTGGCAGAAAGGGGGGGGGGGGGGGGGGGGGGGTTGCTCCACTGTGCCAGACCCCCCATCAGTACGCCCCCCCAGCAGTCTCGGGGAGCCCCCCTGTTCTCCAGAGAGCCCCAGCCCCTTGCCTGCACCCCAGCCCAGCTCTGATAGCTGCCAGCACGTGCCAGGATTCCTGGGCACCTGGCACAGCCATGGGCCCCACCCAGAGCCCACATTCTGTGGCCGAGGGCTCCATCAGCTGCCCGCTGCTGGGCTGCTCCTGGGGCTGTTCCCAGCCAAGCACTGGCTCCGTGCCTGTGACCACATGGGCTTTCTTTGGGGAAGGGTTGGTTTCCTTGTTTTTCTGCCTTTTCAGAGGTTGCCAAAACACTCCCTGTGCCCAGGAACAGGCCCAGCTCAAACTGGGGCTGCCAAGGGGCCAGCGCTGCGCTCCAGGGATGGCTGCTCCCAAGGTCTGTGCCCTGCTGCTGCCACACAGCCTGTTCTTCCAGCACCCCCAGAGCCTTTTTGGGGCTCACTGAGTGTTTGCAAGAGCCTGAGCCCACAGGGGAAGGGGAGCAGGACATGCTGCATGCAGCCAGTGACACACGTGCAGCTGCCCTGGCACCGGCGCATTCCGCCTGGGCAGCCACGGGGAAAGCGGGCACGTCAAACCAGACACGTTAAATCATGAGCAGAAACCGAGCAGGAAGGGTGAGAGGGATGGCGTCTGGCAGGACATGTCACATCCAGAGGTGTGCAGGGACCAGGGACACGGTGACACCCCCAGCACCGAGCCCAGGATTGCCTGGAATGGGAAACAAGAGCCACCGCCCAAGCTGAGGTGGGTGACAGCCACGTCAGGGAGTCACTGTCCCAGAGAAGCCCCCCTGGCACACCACGGCGCAGCCCTGGGGACACATGGCTGCCCCCATCCTTTTATTTTATCTGTGATAAATACAGCCCAGCCGAGGAGCTGCCACCCCGCCGAGCCAAGCCCGGCACCAACACCCCGCAAATAGAAATATTTATATAAAATAACACCACAAAAAGAGCCATTGAATCGCAGGGGGAGCACGAGCCCAGTCCTCCACCCCCGGCACGGAGCAGGGTTGCAAAGCCAAGCGAGTGCGGGGACCGTGGGGCGTGCGGGACCCTCCCTCCCCGCCGCCGATCTCCGTTCATCCAGTTCTGTCATGTGCACGAATCCGGCTGCTCCAGAACCATCCGGCTCCCGCTGCCCACGGCGAGGGGCCGAGCAGCACCGGGGCATGTGCTGCTCTCCCGGGAGTGGGGGGCTGCGGCCGCCCCCTCCCCTCGGCAGCCGCCCTCCTTCCCAGCGCGCCCTTCAGAGGTTGTCGGAGCCGGCGGCGGGGTTGGTGTAGGTGAAGGTGCCGGACCTCGTGGTGCTGCCGCCGGCCACCTTCGGGGCAGGAAAAGCGAGGGGGTGTCAGGATTGGGCTGAGCCCCCAGCCCGGAGCATCACAGGAAGAGCTGCGCCCTCTCCACGCCCACTGTGGGCAACTAAAAATCGCATCGTGCCACCGTGGTGGGCTGCTGCCCCCCATCCATGGGCACTGCGGGCACTCCGGGCCCCCAGGGACATCCCGACCCCCCCTCCCCGTGCGCAGGAGGAGCGGCGGTGGCCCCGGCCGTGTTCCCGCACGATAAGCCGGCCTGGTGAGTGCAAAGGTAAATATTTACCCAGGCCCCTGGTATTTGCTCAGGGTGAGCTGCTCTCAGGGAGCCGGAGCAGCTGGACACGGCCCCCGCCCACAGCCCCGCGTGGGGGGAGCACAGGGCGGCCCCCGCCGTGCCCAGCATCGCCTTGGAGAGCCCTCTGCGCCTCCAGGCAGCTCCCGGTGCCACAGGAGCGGCTGCAGCTCCTGTTCGGGAGCTGCCGGTGCGGGATGAGGGATGCTGGCTGCGGGAACTCAATCCCCCATCAGCTCTGCTGTGCCTCAAACCTGCTCCCCACCCACGGCAGAGGATGCGGGAGACCTGAGGGACCTGCGGGAGATCGGCTGCGACACAGCAGAGCAGGAGAAGGGGCAGGGTGGGCAGGCAGCGAGCCCCCTGACGCCGCTGGGGCGGGGCACGGGGAGAGGCTGCCCAAGGTCGCGGGGAGCTCCCCGGAGCCGGGCCGGGTCTGCCCGCGCCGGCCGCTGCTCCAGCCAGGCGTGAATGTTACACTCACCTCCGGGCCAGGCTGGTGTGGGACGAGCTCCCTGCACTGCCATCTCCCTGCCCTGCCACCTCCCACTAACCCAGGGATGCCCCCCTGCTCTCTGCCCTCCTGAGTGCCCAGGTGTGGGGCTCTGGCTCTCACCTGGCTGTAGGGGTTGGGTTTGCTGTTGGGGGACACGTAGCGCCCGTGGCTCTGGTACTGCAGGTATTCAGCCATGGGGTGGTAGGAGTCCTTCTGGCTCAGCAGGTCCAGCTTCCCTCGGCTTTTCCGGCGGCACGTGCAGGTGGACTTGGGGAGAAAGAGGGGTCAGAGCGTGGGGACAGGGACAGGGCACCAAGCAGCAGAGTGCAGGTGAGGACTGGGGTGGGGATGGGGCCTCACCATCAGGAGGAGACAGGTGAAGATGGTGAACAGCAGCAGGATGCTGACCAGCACCAACAGAGCGATGGCCCAGTCCGGGATCATGGGTGCTGGAGCTGGGGATATCACTGCTGCAGAGCCTGAAAGGAGTAGAGCTGTGTGTGCACCACAGGCAGAACTGGGACAGAGCCCTGAGACATCCCTGGGACAGGGTCTGAGCCCTGCTGCATGGGATCCTGCCTGACACAGGCACTGGGAATGGGCACTGGCCCCACCCTCTGCAAGCCCCAGGCCCATCACAGCACCAAGCAGGCCCCTGCCTCAACCAGGACAGGGCAATGCTTCTGGATCCCCCCAAGCTCCATCCTCTCCCTCGCCAGCCTCTCACTCTGGATGCTGTCCAGCTGCAGGCCCATGATGAAGCCATTCTGGTCCAGGCTCTTCCTCAGGCGCTGCTCAGCAGCGTCGGCAGGGACGGCATCACTTCCATTCCCAAACACGAGGGTGGACTGGACCTCCACCGAGCCTTGGCTGCACAGGAGGAGGCATCAGCACCCAGACTGCCCCCCAGGGGCTACAAACCGGGGGGATACACTGCAGTACACCAGCCCTGCTGCTGCTGCTGCTGCTCACCTGTACTGCAGCTCGCTGCACCCGGTGTAGGTCTGCGTGCCCATGCAGCCCGCGCAGCCAAAGACGTGTTGGAACTGGAAGAAAGCATTGAGGTCACGGCCACCTCCCCACAGACACAGACTGACACCCCTCCTTTCCTGTCTCTGTGCAGAACTGGCAGAATGGATGCTCCAGGTGCTTCCATGGAAAGCCCCAAGGTTAAGGGGTTCCTTCCCATCACAGCCCAAGACCTCTGCCCCAGGGTGAGCTGGTTCCTTCCCAGCACAGCCCTCTGCCCCACGGTGAGGGGGCTCCTCCCCAGCACAGCCCTCTGCCCCAAGATGAGGGGGCTGCTCCCCAGCACAGCCCTCTGCCCCACGGGGAGGGGGCTCCTCCCCAGCACAGCCCTCTGCCCCAAGGTGAGGGGGCTCCTTCCCAGCACAGCCCAGGGCCTCTGCTGGCGGGGCTGGCACTCACCATGGTCAGCACAGTGCGGCTCAGGCTCCTGTACTCCTGCGATGCTGGGTCACGCAGGCTCTCGTTGAAGCTCCTGTTGATGATGCGGAAGGACAGCGGGACACGGACGAGCAGCTGGAGGGCAGCAGGCAGCTGGGCTGAAGTTTTGCTGGGGTTGGGACCACCCTGGGTGGGAGCTGTGCTGCCTTCAGATGTTATCTGGGTGGGAAAGACCTGAGCACTGGTGCTCCCATTGCCTTTGGTGCTGCCGTGCATGGTGGTGGGAGCAGCAGAGCTGCCGTTGGTGCCAAACTGGGGGGCCCAGCTGCTGCTGTTTGAGGTGGCATTGGCATGGGGGATGGCTGGGCTGCTCTGGGCAGGCACCACAGTGCCATTGGATGTGGCATTGCTCATGGAGTGGTTGCCAAACTGGAAGTTCGTGGTGTTTGTGCCAGGGAATGCGGTGGCATAGGGGAAGACAGAGGTTTGGGGCCGGCTGGGCCGTGTGCTTTTGGGGAATACATTTGGCAACACGGTGGTGGTGGTGGTCTCCGTGGTCATTTCCACGGTGGTGGTTTCGGTGGTTTCCATCTCCATGGTTGTCTCGGTGGTCATGGCACGGATACCTGGAGGAAATCCCCGGAGTCAATGGCTGCAGAACAGTCAGGGAAGGTTTCACCCAAAACAGCTCATCAGCTGGACACTGTGGGAAGCACCACAACCCCCAGCAGCCAACAGCCAGCTGCTGTTGCCCACGAGGCTAAGGAGACCTTCAGCAACGCCCCACGATCGGGCACTTGTGACACCACCGAGGGTCCAGGCGGAGCTGGCTGGGCACTGGCACCTGCACTGTGCCCAGCCCTGCAGACCCTGGCGTGTCCCTGACATGCTGGGGGCCACCCAATAAAGCCCCCCTTACTGTGGGTGACAGGCTGGGGTGCCCTCACGCCCTCCAGACCTGCCTGGCCTGGCTGGGGGCCAGTACAGGCAGCTCCCGGGCAGGTTCCCAGCGGCTGCTGCAGGAGCCAGCGGCACTGGAGGAGAGCCCGGGGTCCGGGTGCTCACCGGGACACACCTGCATTCCAGCCCGCAAGCCCCGGGCACAGCCTGCTCCGGCTGGTCCCGGCACAGCCCAGCCCTCGGCCGAGCCCTTCGGACATGGCAGAGGGGCCACGCTCTGAGCCCCCAGGTACCGAAATTCCCGGGCACAACCAGCCCCGGGGTGCTGCACCCCAGAGCCAGAACAGCGACAATGTCCCTGCTGCCAGGATGCCACTGGCTCCAGTATCCCCCCATCCCTGCTTTGAAATGGATCCTGTTCTGCTCCCCCAGCCCGGCTCCAGCCCCTCACCTGTGCCCAGCCCCTCACCTGTGCCCAGCACCAGCAGCAGCAGAAAGGCAGTGAACGCCATGGGGCTTGTCCGGGCGGTCCCGGCGCCTCTCGGGGCTCGGCAGCAGCTGCTCTCCCGTTAGCTGGTGGCACACGCCTCAGTGCAGGGATCCGGAACTGGCAGCTCGACAGCGGCCTGAGCTTTATAGAGCACCTGGGGCAGGTGGGGAGGCCCCGCCCCGCCGCCGGCTCCGGGCAGGGGGGTCGTTCAGCCCCGCTTGGAACAGGGGTGCCACCGCGCTCATGGGGTCCCCGCAGCATCAGCCCCCCAGGTTGGGTCTCTCGCACTCCCCTGGCTCGGGGAGACACCGCTGGCAGCGTCCCTGTGCCACGGGTGGACCCAGCCTCGGGTGGGCACAGCAGCTGGGCATCCTGGTGTAGAGGCAGGAGCAGCATCTGCCGGGCTCCCTGGGCTGAGCGACAGGTGCCAGGAGCTGGTGCGGGACACCGGGGGGGACACGGAAGCCCCCAGCCCCTCGTGCAGGGGGGGCCTCATCCTCTGGCTCAGCCCAGGGTTAATCATTACCGCTGGTCATCGCCTCGCCCTACACTCAAATAAACACCAGTGACCCCCCCGAAACGCTTACGCAGGTACAGCCCAGGGCCCCACGACATCCCAGTACCTCCCAGTAAGCTCCCTCCAGGAGCCAGGGCCCCCCTAGCAGGCACAAAGCCCCATCCCCAGTCAGGACACGGGTGATGCCAGGTGCCGTGCTGGGTGCCAGTGCCCCACCCCAGAGTAACGGGCGCTGCCCGTGCCTGGGCAGGTGACACGTGCTTCTGGTACGGATGGGCAACAAAAGCTACTGGGGAGTGGTCCCATTCTGCCCCTGCCCTGCAGAAATTCCTGATCCCTGGGAGAGCCCCAGTCTCTCAGGAGGGTGCTGATTCCTGGGGGGGTCCCAGTTCCTGGGGAGGTCGTGGTCGGGGTCCCCACACTTGGCTCCTGGCCAGCCAAAGTGCCACCCCAGCCACGCCAAAGGTGAGGTGGTGCTGAGAAGGGGAGCAGAGAGGGGGAACCCTCTGTGCTGCAGTGATTGAGGACAAGGGATGGATGGCAGTGCAGGTGGAGTGGGACCCAGCAGCACTCTGCTCCCCCCACAGTGACTGCAGCCTTGGCAAGCCAGGCCACGTGCAGGCAGGATGCAGGCAGCACCTCTGGGCAAACATCTCCTTCCCAAAAGGCCTCACCACGGGAATGGCTCTCCCCGTGCAGTGATGCTGCTCTCTGTTCCAGCCCTAATCCCCCTCCCCACTCAGCTCTGGGGCCTTTCCCCTGAGCCTCCCCTTCCCGCCAAAGTGAGGGCTGCAGTTTTCCTCCTGCACACACTCACAGAGGACACACTGTGTGGGGGGCTCAGGGGCAGGAGGGTCCCAGCAACTGCTCTCACCCACCAGCCCTGGGAGCAGGGGCCATGTGTCCAGCCTGTCCATGCCCAGTGGATCCCCTGTGTCCCCCCTGTCTGTGCCCGGTAGATCCCCTCTGCCCAGCCGATCCCCTGTGTCCACCCTGTCTGTGCCCGGTAGATCCCCTCTGCCCACCCTGTCTGTGCCCGGTGGATCCCATGTGCCCACCCTGTCTGTGCCCGGTAGATCCCCTCTGCCCAGCCTGTCCATGCCCGGTAGATCCCATGTGCCCACCCTCTCTGTGCCCGGTAGAGTCCCTGTGCCCAGCCTGTCCATGCCCGGTAGATCCCATGTGCCCACCCTCTCTGTGCCCGGTAGATCCCATGTGCCCACCCTGTCCATGCCCGGTGGATCCCCTGAGTCCGCCCTGTCCGTGCCCGGTGGTCCCCACTCGCCCCGTCCCCGCCCCGCGCGTGCCCGGCTCGGGCCGGTGGCCCCGGACCTGCGGCGCTCCCTGGCGGGCGCAGCCCCGCACGACGCTCCCGCCGCGCACCGGCACCGGGACCAGAACCGGGACCGGGAGGGGGAAGGGGACCTCTGCTGGCGTGAGACCGGGAGCGAGACAGAGACTGGGACTGGAGCGAGAGCGGAACCGCTGCTGGGAACAGACCGGGAGCGGCATCGGGAGTCGACCGCAGTAATGCAGAGCGGGAGTGAGACCGATACTGGGGCGAAACGGGAGCGGGAGAGGGAGCAGGATATAGAGCAGGAGCGGAGCGGGACCGCAGCGGGAGTGGAACCGGGAACGGTACTGGACCGGGAGCAGAAGAAGGACCGGAACAGTAACGGGAACCGCGGTCGCCCCTCGCAGCTCGGGGGCGCGGGAGGAGGCGCTCAGTAGCCAGCGGTGATTTCACCTGTCCCGGTACTCCCGGGGAGAGCCAGCTGCCCAGAGAGGCACAGGCCCCGGCCCCGGTCCCGGCCCCAACACCGGAGGGCAACCCCGCGTTGCCCTTTTAAGAGGGGCCCGGTGCCGCCGCGCCCATTGTCGCCGCCGCCGCCGCGGGGCGGGGGGGCCGGGCCGGTGCCGGGCCGATCCCCTGTGTCCACCCTGTCTGTGCCCGGTAGATCCCCTCTGCCCACCCTGTCTGTGCCCGGTGGATCCCATGTGCCCACCCTGTCTGTGCCCGGTAGATCCCCTCTGCCCAGCCGATCCCCTGTGTCCACCCTGTCTGTGCCCGGTAGATCCCCTCTGCCCACCCTGTCTGTGCCCGGTGGATCCCATGTGCCCACCCTGTCTGTGCCCGGTAGATCCCCTCTGCCCAGCCTGTCCATGCCCGGTAGATCCCATGTGCCCACCCTCTCTGTGCCCGGTAGAGTCCCTGTGCCCAGCCTGTCCATGCCCGGTAGATCCCATGTGCCCACCCTGTCCATGCCCGGTGGATCCCCTGAGTCCGCCCTGTCCGTGCCCGGTGGTCCCCACTCGCCCCGTCCCCGCCCCGCGCGTGCCCGGCTCGGGCCGGTGGCCCCGGACCTGCGGCGCTCCCTGGCGGGCGCAGCCCCGCACGACGCTCCCGCCGCGCACCGGCACCGGGACCAGAACCGGGACCGGGAGGGGGAAGGGGACCTCTGCTGGCGTGAGACCGGGAGCGAGACAGAGACTGGGACTGGAGCGAGAGCGGAACCGCTGCTGGGAACAGACCGGGAGCGGCATCGGGAGTCGACCGCAGTAATGCAGAGCGGGAGTGAGACCGATACTGGGGCGAAACGGGAGCGGGAGAGGGAGCAGGATATAGAGCAGGAGCGGAGCGGGACCGCAGCGGGAGTGGAACCGGGAACGGTACTGGACCGGGAGCAGAAGAAGGACCGGAACAGTAACGGGAACCGCGGTCGCCCCTCGCAGCTCGGGGGCGCGGGAGGAGGCGCTCAGTAGCCAGCGGTGATTTCACCTGTCCCGGTACTCCCGGGGAGAGCCAGCTGCCCAGAGAGGCACAGGCCCCGGCCCCGGTCCCGGCCCCAACACCGGAGGGCAACCCCGCGTTGCCCTTTTAAGAGGGGCCCGGTGCCGCCGCGCCCATTGTCGCCGCCGCCGCCGCGGGGCGGGGGGGCCGGGCCGGTGCCGGGGCCGCGCGCTCCGGGGCGGGCGGGATGGGGGGGTGGGAGCACATTCCGCCGCGTTGCCGGGACAGCCGTCGCCGTGGCGACCGGTCCCTGCCGCCGAGCCGCGGTGCGCGCCGCGCAGTTCCCACGGAGCGGCCCGGGCGGCGGCGGCGGCTCCGCTCCCTCCGGGGCGGCGGGAGGGCCGGGATGCGGTGCAGTGTTGTGCTCTCGCCCACCAATATTGCACTCGTCCCGGCCTCCCGCCGCTGCGGGCTGCGTCTGTGGGACCGGCCGGGCGCTGACCCAAACCCGCGACCACCGGGAGAACGGCGCGGGACGGAGCCGAGAGCACGGGGGGGACCCACGGCCCTCTCGGGCCAGCGGGAACCCGCAGGGACCGGGCGCGCAGGGTAGAAAACACTCAAAACTTTATGGCCAGGCGTGGGGCAAGGACCGGAGCGCCCGGGGCAGGCGTGGCGGGAGCCCCGGCACTGCGGGGCCCCGGTACTGGCAGTGCAAAGTCCGCGGGGGGCCGGGAACGGGGCCCGGCCGGGAGGAGCGGCGGGGCCCGGTGCGC